AAGCCATTGAGAAATACTATGAAAGCTGTGATTTGTCACAGCTGTCATATGGTACAGGGCTGCTGTTAATGACCCTACACTATGTGATCACTGTGACTGATGACAGAGATCACACAGTAGTAAATAATGATATTAGGAAATTCCATATTTTTTACTACTGGCCATGTGATTGCTGATTGGCTTCAGTGGTCACATGGTACCAGCACTGCTCACAGAGGCCCAGTGCAATGAACAGTGTTCTACTGTGCCCGGTGGAACCAGTGGGCACAGATCATAGTGCTGCACGCTACCAGGGAAACTGCTGTGGTGCAGCTCCAATCCAACCACTTATGTACTATGGATGGATGAGAAGTGGTTAAAGTCAGTGGGGAGTAAATCTTGAAAATCAATTTTTAAGGCTGATGATAGGCAAGGTTTTATGATTTATAGGTCAGATTTTCCCCACTTGGTCAGTACTGCAGGCTATAACCTGCAATGCTGTTCAGTGTATTCTGTCAGCGGGGAAGTCTCCCCACTGTCAGAATACAAAAGCTCAGCAAGAGGCTTCCCCCATCCACCTAGAATGTGTGTCAGTTTTTTCATGCAACCTGCTTGTTGAAAAAAAATGGATCTATGACCTGCTTAAAGCAGTAGTAAACCACCAGAGAAAAAAAAAAAAAAACAATGAGTCCCTACAGGTTTAGGTCATAATGTACTAGTATGCACCATGAATGGCACAGCTATGCCATCCCCTCAGACCACATGCGCAGATGACGTCACCGACTGCATGCCGTGTGAATATCTCCTAAATAGTGCAAGTTTAGGAGATATTCACAGCACCTACGGGTAAGCCTTTTTATAGGCTTACCTGTAGGTACAACAAGACTTTACTATCACTTTAATAGAGGACATGTTTAGAACAAGCAGAAGTAAACATTTTAAGAGAAGAAACTCATACCTACTTTAAAGCATGGCGGTTGATATGTTATGGTTTGGGGTTGCTTTGCTGCTTCAGGGCCTGGACAGCTTAAGTCATCTATGAATTACGTATCATATCAAAACATTCCTAAAGTATATGTGACCACTTACCTTGTAAAACAGTCTATTCACATTAAAATGAAATGAAAGGCAAAACATTTGTGTGTATATACAGTATATTTATTAGTTTATATGGAACTATATTTTTCAAAAGGATAATGATGCAAAGTACACAATCAAATCCACCAAGAATTGGCTCAAAAAGACGAAATGGAAGGCAATGAAGTTATTTCTGCTAAAGTTTGCAATATTAACTTTTAAGAGTCATATGAGTGTATATATCTGAAGATAAACATGGGAATTATTATTTTTATCCCTGTAGCCAATATGTTTATGTCAATATCAATTAAAAATAAAGTGATCGGACATGGTTTGGAGGGGATGACACATGTGTTCCATCAAATGATTGTGTTACATCACATTTTTGTTATTTCAACTGGATATTGTATCATATTAAAAAAAGTAAATAATCCATATGTCGTTCAGTGGGAGCGTGACCTGGGAGTGGCTGTGGATCCGGAGGACTGGAGTAGGGCCTGGTCACTCATAGCTAAATGCTCATTTAATACGACCACGCTGGAGGCAGCCTATAAGGTATTGTTTCGCTGGTACTGGGTTCCGGCTCGGTTGACCCGGGCTAACCCTGCCTGTAGTGATCAGTGTTTTCGGGGTTGTGGCCATCGTGGAGATGTATTGCATATCTGGTGGTCATGCCCGAGACTGTTTCATTTTTGGTCTCGTGTGTTTGGCCTCCTTTTCACCTTGTTCCATCTCTCCGTCCGCCGGGGGATGCTCGGTATGCTTTGCTTCATTGCCCCATACCGGGCCTCTTGGCTCATCAGCAGAAGTTGGCTTCCTATTTGTTTTTATCGGCCACTAGAACAATTGCTCAGGCCTGGAAGAGTCCGTTTGTTCCTCTTTAGGGGGTGCGGGATCGTATGACCACTTTGATGCTCAACGAACAGATGTCGAGTATCCGCAACGACTCCCAACATACATTTTTGAAAATATGGGAGCCGTGGTTGCAATATGCCTTCCCCACACTCTCCCCGGCTAGTCTGGGGATGTAATGGCGATCGGTATTGGCGCTCTTGGACCCCTGCCCCTTGCCCCTCCCTTTTTTTTTTCTCTCTCTTTCTTTTTCTTCATTCTCTCTCTGTTTTGGTGTGACTGGACTGCTGCATTTAGTTGTTATAGTCAGTTACAGTAATGTTTTGTAACTTATGTGCCATTGATAGCCTCTGCGTGGGCGTACCTTTTGCCCTGTTGACATTAGAGCACCGGTTTTCCTTTTTTTTTTTTTTTTTTTTTTTTTTGCATTTTTTTTATCTGTGCAATTGATAGCCCCTGCGTGGGCATGTTTTATTGCCTCTCTTTTATACTGTTTAAAATTAATAAAAACCATTGAAATAGAAAAAAAAGTAAATAATCGTCATTTTGATTATGATTACATAATACAAAAATTATAAACTGATGTACACTGCAATTTAAACAATTAATAGAGGCAAAAAAATGGATCTATACAATATACTGTTGTGAATCCCTGTTGTGATGATTTATTTTTCTGCCTGAGGGATCTAGAAATGAAATGTTTTGCTTAACCTGTAGATCAAATATTCCATGCATACTTTATCAGGAAGTGTATTTGCTTATAGAATTGGCAACTTCAGTGTCCCTTTATTTACATTACAGAACTGAATGCCCAGATAGACAAGCAAGTGGATTACAAACATTAGAGTGTTATCGTCAATACAATTTTTTTTTTTTTTTTTTTTACATGGATGCTGGTCTCTTGCAGGTTACTACAGTCATCCATTATACTGCAGAAATTGTTGGTCTGCTGTTCAGTAGAATACTCAAAGGACTGCCAACAGCATCATGAAGGCAAATGTAGCCTTTGGCTACAATTGATTGAGTGGGAGGAAACATGGAAACACAAACAAGTCTGACTTTTACTGCACAGAGATTATAGTCCACATTTAGAACAAGCTCACAATATTGGTGTTCTATATGGCAAAACATTACATTATCAGTATAGGTATTCTAAAAATAATGCATTCAGATTGAGACAATTAACATGTATCTAATGTTGGCTGTTTTTTGGTAAATTTATATTTTCTATTTTTACGTTTATCCAGTAAATGTGATATTTTATTATAATCAAAGATTTTATGAAACAATTATATTATGCACATATGGTGGCTGATTTACTAAAGGAATAAAGCATGTTCACTTTGTAGTGATTTTTTTTTTATCACATTCAAGGTAAATGAAAATTAATTTTGCAAAGAATACTTCATTACGTGCAAGAAGAAAAGAAGGAAAAACGAAAAAAAACAGGATTTTTGCTTGCACATGATTTGATGATGGAAGTCAACAGTACTTCATCTCATTCACTAACTCAGTGGAAAATGGAAATTCACTTTGCAAAGGGGACATACTCTACTTATTTACTAAATGTGTACTTATTTCATACATGCATGTGACAAACTTTTATTAACACTTTTTTCAAATATTCTTTGTGCTGGAATATTTGACGACTGATACAATCTCAATTTTATATCTCCTTAAGTGATCACCGAGATAGGCAGCAATTGAAGCAGACTGCCCATGCTAATATGCATAAGGTTACTTTCACACTGATCCGTGGCAAAAACGCTGCAAAAATGTGGTGCTTTTTTAAAAGACGGCACCAAAAACACAATACAGGTGCGTTCTTCAAAGCATTTTTTATGCATTTTTGCCGTATTTTCCATTGATTTCAATGGGGAGGTGAGTTTTTGGTGAGGTTTTTTTTACCGCACCAACCTGCACCAAAAATCCAGCAAGTAGGAATTTTAAAAATGCACCAGACCAGCAATGGATCAGTGTGAAGAATGCCTTAGGAATACATGGTCACATGTTTTTCTTCCAGTTTTCCTAATACCTTATTCCTTGCCAGTGAGATTCAGACCCTGACAATTCAGGTCCAGTGAGTTTGCAATACAACCAAGAGCACTACATTTTCCATACTACAAATAAAGCTGAATTTAAATGCTTAGTGGAAAATGGCTCCATGTTTCCAAATTCTTGTGCTTTGGCAACTAATGTATTGGTATGTTAAGTAATGTGAATACCTAATTGACCTTTCCAATGGATAAACTTGATTTACTCCTGTAGTAATTATGTCATCACAATTTATTTCCATTATAAATGCATCATCAGTTGCAGGAATTAGAATCCTAAATCATTGCACCTCTGGGAAACATTGTTAAATTGTCTTACTGTTACACCATCTTTTATAGGAGACATTTAGGGAAAACAAAAACAATAAACCAGAAATTATCTCCTCATACAGACAATCTATCTTAGGAATGCCTCTGAGCTCTTCAGGATATTGTATATATACTCCATGCTGGATTCAGACCAATTTATACCAAATGGCGGTTTTTCATGAGAGTCATGTTTCCCATGGTGCTACAAAATCAGTTGCACTTAAATTACAGTATTTGTAGATAGAATGCTTAAAAAAAAAAGAAAAATAAACAACTTTTCTCTGTGAAATGTTTTCTATAAATTAGAATAAGTGTTTAGGCATTGTGTAAAATGTAACATAGTAAGTGCACAATAAAAAGTAGAGGAATGGTACATGGACACGAACTTTAATAAGCCAGAGTTTATTTACTTGAATTAAATATAATGGGTATGCGGATTAAGCAGAATTACTGTATGTAGCTTACTTGCTAACTGTTTTACTGAAACAATTACCCTAGTTCAGTCCTGAGCAGGATCAATTATGTAAACAATTTGGTTCCAATTTCAAAATTTATATAGATTTTCACAGTTATTCTGCCCCATAGAGCAAACAGTTGGGTTTACATCCCTTCAGTATATTTTTAACCACTTTCCGCCCACCCTATAGTACAATGACAGGCGCAAGGTGGTTCTCTCGTTCTGATAGGATGTCATATGACGTCCTACCATTCTCACTGTGCATGCGCGGCTCAGGACACAGCGGATCACGGAAAGAGCCGAAGATGTCGGCTCGGTCATGTGATCAGCTGTGTCCAATCACAGCTGATCACATGTAAACACAGAAATGTCAGTTATCGGCATTTCTCTCCTCTCGAGCTGTCACGCTGACAGCTCGAGAGGAGAGGAGAGCCAGTAATCGGCTTTCCGTGTAGGAGACATGTACACTGATCATCAGGGCACTGATGATCAGTGTGCCCTGATGATCAGTGTGGCCCCAGAAGTGCCACCTGTCAGTGCTCATCAGTGCCAGTGCCCATCAGTGCCACGTGCCAGTGCCCATCAGTGCCACATCAATGCCACATATCAGTGCATACCAATGCACATCAATGCCACATATCAGTGCATACCAGTGCACATCAGTGTCACATATCAGTGCCCATCTCAGCTGCCTTTCAATGTCACCCAACAGTGCCGCCTATCAATGCCAATAAGTGCCACCTATCAATGCCAATAAGTGCCACCTATCAGTGCTGCCAATCAGTGCCACCTATCAGTGCCAGTCAGTGCCGCCTCACAGTGCCAGTCAGCGCCGCCTAACAGTGCCAGTCAGTGCCGCCTATCAGTGCCATATATCAGTGTCATGTATCAGTGCTGCCTTTCAGTGCCCATCAGTGATGCCTGTCAATGCCCATCAGTGCAACCTACCAGTGCCTCCTCATCAGTGTCCATCAGTGCCACCTATCAGTGTCCATCAGTGCGGCCTATCAGTGCCCATCACTGCAGCCTCATTAGCGCACATCAGTGAAGGAGAAAAATCACTTATTTACAAAATTGTACAACAAAAACTAAGAAAAATTTTTTTTTTTCATAATTTTCAGTGGTTTTTGGTTTGTTTAAGAAAAAATAAAAATCCCAGAGGTGATTAAATACCACCAAAAGAAAGCTCTATCTGTCTCAAAAAAATGAAAAAAATTTCATATGGGTACAATGTTGCATGACTGCGCAATTGTCATTAAAAGTGTGACAGCGCTGAAAGCTGGAAATTGGCCTGGGCAGGAAAGGGGTATAAGTGCCCTGTAGGCTAGTGGTTAAATATTTATCCTTGGAGCACCCAAAAGTAACTGTTACTTCCCTGAGTGCAATGTTTGGTGTTTTTGGTTACCCAACTTCTTTAACCACTTGCCTATAGGGCACTTATACCCCTTCCTGCCCAGACCAATTTTCAGCTTTCAGTGCTGTTGCACTTTGAATAACAATTGCGCGGTCATGCAACAATGTACCCATATGACATTTTTATAATTGTTTTGAGACAGATAGAGCTTTCTTTTGGTTGTATTTAATCACCTCTGGGTTTTTTTTTTTGCTAAACAAACCAAAAGCAACTGAAAATTTTGAAAAAAAAAATTTTTCTTAGTTTTTGTTATAAAATTTTTTAAATGAGTGATTTTTCTCCTTCACTGATGTACACTAATGAGGCTGCAGTGATGGTCACTGATAGGCTGCACTGATGAGCACTGATAGGTGGCGCTGATGGGCACTGATGAGGAAGCACTGGTAGGTGGCACTGATGGGCATTGACAGGCATCGCTGTTGGGCACGGAAAGGCAGCACTCATATATGGCACTGATAGGTGACACTGACTGGCACTGATAGGCGGCACTGACTGGCACTGTTAGGCGGCACTGATGGTCACTGTTAGGTGGCACTGCTGGGGCTACACTGATCATCAGGGCACACTGATCATCAGTGCTCTGATGATCAGTGTACATGTCCCCTCCGAGGAATGCCGATTACCGTCTCTCCTCTCCTCACGAGCTGTCAGCGTGACAGCTTGTGAGGAGAGAAATGCCAATAACTGGCATTTCCCTATTTACATGTGATCAACTGTGATCAACCTTTTTTCAGTCAAGGCACCCTTACAAATTATGGACAGCCCCAAAGAACCCTTTACAATTATGGACAGTCTTGAGGCACCCCATTCTAAAATGAGAAAAACTATTCTGAAAGTTTTATATAACGCACCAACATAAACACATGTAGAACACCCAACATTAGAGGTGATATATACTTCCAAAGCAAATACACTTTTGCACGCTGATACTGACTAGTATTCCAATGTTTCTCTTCTCCCTTAGTTTTTCTCCATCACTGAGCTAATGTGGCCCAAGCACTGATGAAGAGGGTCAGGGGAGGATCAAACTAGGATGCTGTGCAGGCATTACAGGGTTGTAATGGTGCACAATGAAATCCTGTGACTTTGTGTAACTAAAAGGCAGGCTTGTTCCACCTTCTGGCTTGTATACAAGTTTTGGGCAATTTTTAGACATTTTGCCAAGGCACCCCTGAAGATTGCTTTCCAAAATAGGAGTATTAATAGTTTGTTTTTGTCAATGAACAAAATGGAAAGTAAATGAACAGAAGAGAAATCTGAATCAAATCAATATGTGGTGTGGCTACCCTTTGCCTTCAAAACAGCATGAATTCTTGCAAGGAACCTGCTGCCATTTTTCTGCACCCCATTTCCTATGTTTTCATGCATAGTCTTAGCCTTAGTATTTAGCTTTGTTTCCACATCCTATGCACAAAAACATTTGAACTGGGGTGCAGAAAAGCTGCAGGTTATGCCTAGACAAAAATCTGAACAAAATTTGAAATAATTGGCTGTAGCAAGAGGCAGTTTGTTCACCAAAGGGCTGGAGAGTGGTATAATAATGAGTGTCTGCAGGCAACAGTGAAGCATAGTGGAAATTCCTTGCAATTTTGGGGCTGCATTTCTGCAAATGGAGTTGGAGATTTGGTCAGAATCAATGGTGTCCTCAATGCTGAGAGATACAGGCAGATAATCATGTCTTAAACAGGGCTACTAGTAAATTTAATTATGCTTGGTTTGTAGGTAACTCGGTTGATTTATAGACTTTTGATTATTTGGGTTTTCTCCTAAGCCTGGTTTAGCTATGGTTCCTCCCTTCTGTCTCAAGGTGGCACTGCTACCTTTGGCACTAGTATGATGGATTACAGTAAAACTGGGTTATAATTACGTACAGTATACTGTTCTCAGCTAATCAATAGGAGTTACATTATTGCTGAGCATGCTGGGGGATAATATACATATTTGGACAGGTCAGGTGATTGGTGTCTTCCCATCCAGACCTGGGTCTTGTGTGAATGAATATGGAACTGCTGTTCTGGTTAGGACTGAAGCCAAGGGCCTAGCTACAGTATGTGATCAGGGTTCTGCTAGAGAGAGAGCCTGCTATCACCTGGAAGCATGAAGGAGAGGATGGAGACCTGAGATGAAGTACTAGAAGTCACTCTGCAATAGACCGGGGAACTGCGAAAGCATCAAGATGGCATCATCTAAAGAGGTCCTGCATGTCCTTGTGAGTTTTCTTGTTGTTGCTATGGGAGACAGCTGTCACTCATAAAGTACAGCTTGCTCCTTACAGCTTAAAGGCTCTTTTCCTGTACTGCTGTCTACTCCCCTTTATTTTGTCTAGGGAGTTTGCTAGTCTGCTGTCTTTTTGATTGGAGCATCTGTGACGAATGCGGTGCCCAACCTCTGCACTTCTCACCAACTTGTGACAAAGGACCCACCAATCTCACACAGCGCTGTCACTTGCGTAACAATGCCACTCTTAGCTGCACCCTGCACAAAGATTTTCCAGCTTGCTAGACCACAATCTAGGTGCCAGAAGCCTGAAGTTGATTGTCACTGGGTTAGGTTAATTAACAATTACCCTTCAAACTGCCACTAGATAGCTTTGGGCCTATCAACCCTTCACAATGTTAGCAAGAACAAATGTGAACAATAAATGTCTGTAACACACTCTGTCACCATAGACAGGTATATTCACAGGATTATTATATACAGTAGCACGCTTCAAGAGACAGGGATTCTTTAGTTTGCATTAAAAGCCTTAGGGATAGTTTTAACACTGTTCAAAATAGGGTTTATTAATGAAAAGGTCAAATGCAATTAAAATATTTACAGAAGAGAATGTTACAAAGACATAAAGAGAACAATAATGCAACAGAGAAATAAAAGGAGGTGGAAATGGAGAATACTTGCAAAGTCCTGGTTTCAGCAAGTCAATTGTCCAAGCAAAAACATTGTTGTGGCTCTCTTGGGTGCTCCATGGTTGATGTTAAAATGAGAGCTTGCTTAACAGGTCCTGTCATTCCCTTTTCTGTGATATCAAGAGGGTGTTGACAGAGACCATCTGACCAATCGTTCGGTTTAAGGGATGGGTGCTGGGAGGCCACCATGTTTATTATTATTATTATATAGGATTATACAGTCTGCTCAGCACTTTACAATATAACAGGAGACAATACAGTTCAATACAAGAGGGATAGGAGGGCCCTGCTTCCGTTCCAATCAAAGTACCTTTTGTGCCAAATAAGGTACATTCCAACCCCCAATTCAATTAGTGCCTTTTTCAGTTCCCAAATTCCATTAATATAGTTCCTCCACTTGTGACCAGCTGCCATCCTGCCCCTCCACCTCTCGTCCTGCCGCGGCTCTTTGAAGCCGAGCCGTGCAGGACAAGAGGTGCTGCTTCTGTAACCCCTGCCGCTATCTTCTCCCCATTCGGCCATGCCAGAGGGGAAAAGATAGCGAGGTTCACACCTCTCCGCGGAGAGGTGCGAACCTCCTGCGGGGATGTTCTGGACTGCGGTGTCAGACTGACACTGCACGGTCCCGGCATCCGCAGCATGGGCACGGAGAGTTCCCGTGCTTGCGGATGCCGCTGGACAAAGGCCGCGCTCACGAGAGCGCGACCCGTGTCCATGGGGGCGTGCCTTGTTGGCGAGCGACGAGGCACACCACCCACAACCCGCCCACCATTGCCAGGATGACCGGGAAGCATCCTGCATCAGTTTAGGAAGACCGATGCCGGGCTCTTCCCGGCCATCCATTCCGCTGCCAAGCCACAGAGGGATCCCAGCTGAGATGGGACCCTCGTGGCCACTCTGCATAGACCCCAAGGATAAGGGGGAGCCTCCACAAGCTGCTGCCGCTCTGCAGAAAACCCAGGGAATGGGAGACCTCCGCAGCTGCCGCTCTACAAACCCCCAGAGGAGGGGAGAAGTCCGCAGCTGCCGCTCTGCAGCCCCTAGGGAAGGGGATACCTCTGCAGCTGCCGCTCTGCAAACCTCCAGAGAAGGGGAGATCTCCGCAGCTGCTGCTCTGCAAGCCCCAGAAAAGGGGGAGACCACCGCAAGCTGCCACTCTGCAAGCCCCAGAGAAGGGGAGAACACCACAAGCTGCCACTCTGCAATCCCCAAGGAAGGGGAAGAGCTGCTCAGCTGCCTACTGCAAGCCCCAAGGATGGGGGGGGGGAACTACGCCAGCTGCCCTCTGCAGGTGCCCAGGACTTGTGGGGATTATTACCACGGACTACGCCACGCATCATACTTCAGATTCAGGGCAAGTACTCGCTGTTGTACGGTCTTGCTCCTCGTGGACCCGTGTTTTTCCCTGAACTGTTCTTGTACTCAATCCCCCCACCTCCCTGTTTGGATTACAAACTGCTGTAGAGACTTTAACCCTGCTCTGGGGCTGGACTACAAGTATTTTGGGCCCTCTCCTTGTTATTTCTCTGTCAGGGCAGGAGCCGAGGAACGGACAGGCAGGCCTAACAATGTAACGCACTGGCTGACGACAACCACCACCCACAGACCGAAGTCCCTCAGGGCGCGGAGTCTAAGTCCCAGGCTGCCCTTCACCAGGGCCCCTGATGGTGGGGATGGACTTGACGCAGCCAGGAACCAGGTCGCGGCCCCCGAGACACCTCAGCTGCGGTAATGGCCGCCGCCAATGGCGTGTAGCTGGTGGAAAGAGACAAAAGAGTAGTCAGACAGGCTGGGGTCAACAACAGCAGGATAAAACAGTACAGGACAGCAGACGAGAATCACAGGTCACGAGCCGGGTTCAGCAACAGAGGGTCAGATCAAAGGAGAATACAAAGAATAGTCAAGTCACAAGCCGAATCAGATACCAGTAGAGTCACGAGAGTCAGAACAGAGTAATAGCAACACAAAGACACAAGACACAAGTGCAAAGAGCATGTGCGGGCCACAGGCTTATATGTCATCAGCCACGCCCCTCTGGGGGATGGACCTCAGAGACCTGAAGGCATAAAAGGATTCCCACCATGCACAGCAGAATCCAAGATGGACGCCAGCACATGGAGTAACATAACCTCAGGGAAAAGGTAGGACCTTGACATTCTCCTACTTGAGTGACTGTCATTTGCCTTAATAAAACTTTGTGTGTTTGCCATCCGCTGTGTGTGTTCTGTCCTGCCTACCCTCCGTCACAATGACCAATTCCCAAATACAGTTTCTTATAAACATTCATATTTCTGAATATCGACCATTTACACTGTTACCATGCAGATTATTGTCCAGCATGAATTTAGCTTCGAAACGGATACAGATATGACAGATTTCGGATACCTATATCTCATAGGAGGGGTATAGAGACCTAATCCACTCTTGAACTTCCTAGCACAGGAATATGTGGGTTCAAAACACTACCCAATAACTGATGACTATGACTTTATTCTGGATTGTCATAATTTCAGAAATTATAAAATATGCTGAAGTCTTAGAATCTTGGCTCATAAGCTTTCAGAAATGTGTATTGGCCATTTTCTTCTGCTGAGCTATTTAGGACTGTGTATCTGTTAGTTCT